GTAGGTACATTATAACTTTAGCCGAACAAGCCTAATAAAATTCTGCCTACGTGTTATAATCGAGTATAAAATGTACTTTGTTTGATTCAAACATGAACTAGTTCCTTTCTATCCGGTATCGGGCTAGTATGTGACTAGCATATTTCTGACCGAAAACTGACCCTTAGGGCGCCTCGGTGCAAAAAATACCAGTTGTGTGTATAAAAAACCAAAGCTTATTTGGCGTACCAGTTGCAAAGTAGTCTTTAACCGATTCAACTAATTGCCGCATACACGTGTATGTGTGGTTACAATAAAAGCCATAACAATAAAATAACCATTCCAGCATAAAGCATTACTAAAAATTTTAACTTCTGCCATAAAAACATAATAACTATCGCACAAATTACTGACACATACACGCACAAGCAGAAACACTAAAACGTCCATACACATACATACACACATACTTTTAACCTTCGAAAATTAGTTGAACAACTTTAAATAGAGCTTAACATTGAACCCGCATATATACGAGCACACATACATGCACATAAAAGTTCGGCTGAAAATGTTATTTTGGTTTGAGTAGCATAATAGCTGCCTTTTCCTACATTCGCACATAACTATTAAGACTGATAGAACGACGAGTAACAGTACTAATTAAATACAATTTACCGTACACAACTTCCGCTATCAACTTCTCTTTCTCCATGCTGTTTGCTTTTACTCGTTATTCGTAGCACTCACTCAGCCACTCAGCATGTTGTTTCCTGCTCTTGGAAGCAGTCAAAAGTTGAACAGGAAAAAACAAACAAACACATGCACTTATATGTATGTATGTACGTACTTGCATGTAGTCGTTAAGAGAAATTTTAGATAAATAAATAAATACATGGAGTGAAAAAAATGTGTAAAAAGTTTAAACGAATGTACGCACAAACACATACAATATTTCCTGTACACGAAGTTGAATAAAATTGGTTTCATTAAAAATTATATCGAAATGAAAGTGCTTCGCTCCGGTGGGTATATCAAATAATCTACAAGCTAATTTCAACTCGAAATTTTCACACTAAACTAGATTTATCTAGACTATATGCTCAGAGAACCACGTGACCGATGAGCTTACTTACTTATTTACTTTACTGGCCCAAACACCGCTTACGCGGTTTTGGCAGAGTTAACAACATTGCGCCATTGGTTTCTTCTTTTTGCTGTTTGGCGCCAATTGGAAATAGCAAGTACAGCGAGGTCCCTCTCTACCTGGTCTTTCCAACTCCTTCTTCCTCAGTTTCCACCGGCAGGTACTGCATCCAAAATTTTGAAAGTTTTAGTATTCGCATCCATATAGATCACGTGATTTAGCCAGCGTAGTTGCTGCTTCTTGTTTTGTTGAACTACATCAATGTCATCGTATAACTCGTACAGCTCAGCCTTCCAATGTCTGCGGTATTCGTCGTTCCCAACGCGCAAAGAACCATAAATCTTTCGCCAAGCCCGTCTCTCGAAAACTCCCAACGCCAACTCATCAGATGTTGTTATTATCCATGTTTCCGCACCATATAGCAGGACGGGATCGATAAGGGTTTCGTTCTTCGAAAACGACCTTACTTTTCAATTGTCTACTAAGGCCGAGGTAACATCTGTTGGCACTAGTGATTCTGCGCTGGATTTCAAGGCTGACATTATTATTGGTGTTGATGCTGGTTCCTAGATAGTCGAAGTTATCTACGGCCTCAAAGTTATTAGTGTGACGTGGGTGCCGAGCAGCGAGTGTGATGACTGTTTATGGGATAACAGGAGATATTTCGCCTTACCCTCATTCACTACCAGACTCATATCCTTCGCTTCTTTTTCCTTTCTTTAGAAAGCATAACTCACGGTGCGGTTTTTAGTGCCAACAATGTCAATATCATCGGCATACGCCAAAAGCTGTATACTCTTATAGAAGATTTTACCTTCTCTATTCAGCTTCTCAGTCTCGTATTATTTTCTTCAGCATCAAATTAGATAAATCACACAATAAGAAGTTGCCTTGTCTGTTTGGTACCCAACGGCTTAGAGAGGCCCTTCCCGATCCTGACGAGGCTTTCCTTGCTGAGGAGCGAGTGACGTTAAACAAATTAATTTTTGTATAATTTGGTTGATCCCTGACTCAAACCTTGGTCATTTGAATGTTTGTACGTAATGCTGACTACTCTGCTATTGCGGTCATCATTGAGGACGACTTAAGAAAAATTCAAGAAAAAGTAGGTTTCTCATGCCACTTTCACATAATTCGTTAAAAAGAAGACACTTGTCATTTTACTATTAAATCAGAGGATCACAACTGAGGCACCCAATAAAAATTGGTGTTCATACGTATATCAGCTGATCACCACCATATATCTAATGTACCCTCCCAGATTAAGGCGATGAACCCCACTTTTTTTTTGAGACTCAACTCTTGGTAACTTACCATGCAGGCGCACGAAATTCGTGTCTGCGCTACAAATGGTTTAGTAGAGCTTTAAAAATAATTCCAGGAAGATATATCGATGAGGGACTGACTTATTCGAAGAAATATTATTTATCGTTCGATATACTTGAAATTTGGCACATAGGCGACTTTTTGCTTAGATTTACAAGGAACCCATTAATCTCTTCAGAAAGTGGAACGGGGACTGACCTTTTCAAAAATGTGGTCTATTCCTCTCCACGTGAAGTGTACCAATGTCAATGTAAATGTCTTTGTGATAAAAATATATCCCATGATTAATTTTTCATACATTCATTGAGTTGATTCACATATGTGGGTATTTTTATATATAATTGGCACATTGTAAGCTATATCTTTTTAATTGGCATTGGAGCTGTTTGGATGTTTAAAGCCAAACCAAGAGCAACTTTCCATTTAGTCGTCTTTTCTTCTCGCAATTCAGCGCCAATTAAAGACACCAACCAAGGCCAATTCTTCTCCGGCAGACCGCTCTTTTGAAAAGGGCTATTGCCTCTTGCTCTGCTCCCATGCATCAAATACTTTCGGAAATGGAAAATTTACATTCTTTCCAACCACATTCTCTAGGCAGCATAGCTGCTGTATCTTCAACCGCTGAGTCGTGTCGATGTCCACGAGTTTTATACAGCTAAATCCATACAATCGTTATCCATATTTGCCGTCACCTACACGAAGAGGATCATAGTTTTCTGAAAAACATTCTTCTCGAAGACTCTTGAAGCCGACTCATCGGATATGCAGTAGAGTTTTTTTTCAAAGTCGGAGACTTAATTCTTCCAAGGAAGACAGTGACTTAATTCTTCCAAAAAACCAGTGATTCAAATGTATTTGGTATTGTTCTTAATACACTACAGTACAAATCTGTCTCATGGTGCGGTATTTGAGACCAACAATACCAATATTACCTTCTAGTAATTGTATGCTTTTATAGATTGTTGTACTTCTAAATCTTTTGATGTTGGTTAGCCTTAGTTTGTGCATCCAATTCAGACATAGCGGCACTGTCTCAGAGACAATTTATTCTCCTGCTTGGTGTGGGAGTAGGTAGTTTATTCCTTTCCAACCTGAATATACTTTAAACATAAATTATTCGATTTCAACTTATGTTCGTTAACCCAATCGTTCGTTGGAGCTCGAAGTATTGTCCAAAAGCTCCCTTATCCACCGATTTATCGATTTGCTTTCTCAGAGAGCAGAGGTTTAAATTGAGTAGATAATGTCTTAGCTGTCTGTTGTAGCTCTTCCAGTTAATGGTGGACATTTTGAATATTTTACAAAAAATTGATGAATGGACAATTCCTACTGGCCATTTTTCTATAATTTGGGATTTTCCTCTACTTGAACTCCTGCAGTAAAAAGCACTTAACAGCCATAAAGGGCTATAATTGAGATAGAGAAAAATAAAATATACTTTGCTTTTCATTTTAATATTTTCAAAACAAAGTCAGCGCATTAAAAAATTAATTTCACCTCTCCTTTCTGCATGTCCTAAATTGCTCTGGCATTTATTTCTTATGACCCACTAAGAGCTTAACATTCACCCTTTTCAAAAATATTGTTAGATTAAATGTAATATTCTTATGTTAAACTAAATTTAGATTATAGTTTTAATAAAAAATATGATTTTTATATTTAACAATCATAAAGTTTTTATTCTAATATGTTTAATACAGTACTTTTTTCAAACATTTTAAATTCATTTCAACTCTAAAACTGCTCCTCCCTTCAGCATATTGGCAACAAATAAGTTGTTCATTCATCTAATGAAATTGCGGTAATTCCAATCAAAAAAGAATTCAATATGAAAAAGTAGAATGTCAAATTCAAAAATAGCAAACAAAAGCACAAACTGCCACTACTACCGACGTGACCAATTTGTTTAACACACCCTCAATAGACTAATTGAGAGCAGCTTGGTTAAGCGAACACTTTTGTGGATTACTCAAGCATGCAAAGATATAGTTTCTGTTTACCTTACTACGGCGTCATACATTTGTTCATGCTATTTATATTTATTTATTTATTTTTTTTTTTTTGATTTATTCAGTATTTTTATGCTGCTGCCTCCCCTGCTAGTGAAGCGAACGACACATTCGACTATTGCAATAAAATTCAACTTATTTCTCTTCTCTTACCCACTTACGTAACGCATCGTTGCATTTATTTCTGCACTGGCGCCAAACTACTTTACTTAACAGTACTACTCAACTACAGTTAGTATGTATATGTGTGTGTGTGTGTATGTGAATGTGAGTGAGTATGTGTCTCTAAGTGCAAGTGTTGATATCGAGTTCAAATGTATATACATATTTATAGCTTTTCTACAACAACACTTTGCAACACTAGTGAACCCCATTTATTTAGCTCGAAGCAAACATCAAAACAACTAACCAACTAAAAAATTCTACTCTTCTTCTACTCTCCTTTCATTGATGGCTATGTGCAATACCTATTCTACGTATGTGTGTGTGTGTGCACATAAATGGGAAAATAAATAAATAAATGCATACAACGTATGCAGTGCCCACAATACACAAGTTTATCAGGTGACACGCTCGGGACATGAGCATTGCGATGTGACTGAGGGTATACTGTTGGATATAACACCACTGGTTGTTGATGGTCGGAAATTGGTGACACTCTATGATAAAGATCTCACCGAGGGAGTCAACTTGCTAATTGGTGAGTAGCATAATGGATATAATGATAGAATTCATAATTGCGTATATTGTACATGCAGACTTATGGAAATATATGTTTGTTAGGGTGTTTATTATTTGGAGAATTTGCAAATAACTATTTTAGTTTTTTAATTTAGTATTTTAGTTGTTGTTATTTTTATTTTAAATTTCAAATCTGCTTCCAATATTAACTATTTACACATATACATATTTATATAGGCAATTTTTTTTTGCTTCTTTGTTGCATAAGAAAAAAATATTCAATTCATATAAGCAAACCAGGCCTTTCGTTCACTAAAATCTTATAACTTTTTTCTATTTGCATTACAAATAATTTTATTGATTTTACAAATAAACTTGATACAGTGGACCCCCGATAATCCGGCCCCTGTCTAATCCGGCGCCCCTTGTAATCCGACATGACAGAATTATGTTTGACAATCTTTGCTAATACATATAGATCACGCAAGTTTGAACAGGTCACAACTCGAACGCGCCACCGCTATCGTGCTCGACGCGTATGCATTGTTTTACTTAGTTTGAATTTGACTACTAGTGATAGCGGTACGGCCTAGCGTACGTTCATTGTTTACTATTTATTCATTGTGTATTAGGTATATGTAGTACCTAGTAATGTCGTCACAAACCCAGAAGCGAAAGCACAAAACGTTGACAATTAAAGAAAAATGTGATATTTTAGATCGCTTAAATCGCAATGAAACTTTCAGTAGTTTAGCAAGTGAATACGGCGTAGGCCGATCTACAATTTATGACATTAAAAAAAACCACGAGAAGATTAAGAAGTTCGTGTCAACTACTGACTGCGGGCCAGGCAAGAGACAGACACTCAAGAAAGGTGAACATCCAGAAGTGGAAGAAGCTTTGTACATGTGGTTTCTTCAGGAAAGAAACAGGCATGCACCAATTTCGGGACCCATGTTGGCGATGAAAGCTAAGTTTTTTTATAAGGAAATAACAAAAAAAGATGATNTGATTATTTTGGTAGATATGTATGTGCATTTATGCTTAATTTTATAATAAAACGTAAACTCTCAATTGTTATTTAATTTACTAAATTCGACTTACATAAATTAAGTCTGATTTGTACTTCAAAGTACATACATATGTACGTATAATATATAGACTCTCGTCATTAGATATGTAATTTGTCGGATTACAAGGTACTCTTTCGTAAAAAAATCCGGACTATAGGGGTCTTAGGCAGTGCTCTATAATCCGACAAATTCGATGGTCCGACACTGCCCTGCATAATGTTTGCCGGATTATCGGGGGTACACTGTAGTTATATTACGTATACGTGCTTGTGTACCATGAACTAATTTAGGCAAAGCTTGTAAAATATTTCCCAAATAGTAGTAATCTATTTGGAAATTTTTTCAAATACAATTTTTTTTTTAATCAATTAGAGTTATAAGAATTTTTAAGCAGGCAGTGCGTATACGTAACATTTTAAGTACCACATGTCGCTTATGGCGTTACATAGGTATTGAAACTACAAAAAAATTATTTTTTTGATCATTTTTTGTATAAAAGTACATAGATCGAGGCGAAACTGTAGAAATTAGAGAGTTTTGTAACTCGCCTAATTTGTCATGGCTTGACTGACGGCGACAGGCAAGACGGCGTTTTTCTTAAAACCACTTTATCGAAATCGGTAGTCAAAATTTCTCAACGACTATTAAAGTGATCGAGTTCAAATTTTCCACACTTTTTTAAGCATGTTTTCGTACTCCCTGTACGTAGGATTTATTTTATCTTTGATTTCAACTCATTTACATTCCAACATGTGGTCTAATTTTATGCAAAAAATTACGTTTTTTGTAAAAAAAAGCTACAAAAAATTCAATTTTTAATTATTTTAATTCTTCTTCGTTCAGGGTCTAGAAAAATTCAACTTCTTTAGAAAAAATATGGGTTTTTGATTTCAGCTAAAAATTGAATAAGTTATCATGGCTACCGCGATAGCACTTTCTTGTAGACGGTCTACTTCACGACACTGCCGACGCCTTAACTTATACAATTTTTCATTCAAATTTTCATCAAATATTGTCCACATATTGCACTTTTATATGTAAATAAAATAAATTGTATACCTTATTCAGTATCTTTTAAAAAAATTAGACAATATATGTTTTTTTTTGCCTTCAATACCTTATGCTAGAGTATAAAGAATAAAATTAAATTAACAGCGAATTTAATTAATTTTTTTTTCAAAATTCAGCTGAAATAGTGTTTAGTTTATTTTGCTAGTAGAAAATATAAACAATATAGACTCTTAGTATTTTTTTGTGATAAAAATCACAACACTTAAGAGTAATACCTGGAGTTGGGTGGGGTATATATTTTGCTTTAGAAACAAAAAAAAAATTCTTTAACGAATTTTCAATAAAACTGCTGCGTCTTAAACTACCTGTAGTGGAATGTTTAAGGTTTTACATTTGAACATAAATTTTTTAGATTACGTATACGCCACGTTCTACTCAAACATCAAATCTCCTTTGGCTTCTAATTATGTTTGTTTAAGTTTTCTTCTAATTAACTCAAATGCAAGTTTTTCGCGGTAAAATATATATTATTTGTACGCTAGTGCGTATACGTAACATAAATTAGATTATATAAAATTTTATACATAAAACAACAAACTTTCTTCTTTATTTGTTGTTGTTGTTCAGAGAAAACTCTTCCACCAACACGAACTCATCACGGATCATTCATATGAACATATTTCAGTTCAATGTGAGCGCCATCGTTCCATTTCTATTAACAAAAGGTTAACAGTAGTGGTTTGTCTTACATGGGAAGAGAGTGGATATTTCAAGAATTTTAGAGAATCCATATCACTGTAAGATATCATGATCGATGAGTAACCAGTGTTATAGTGTTTATGAATTTTACTTATTAAGAAAAAAAGTATTAGTTTAGCCACTCTTATGAAAACCTCAAAACACTTCATTGAACTTGAAAACCACCCACTAACTAACAAAAGATGTTTCTCCCGTGCGTTTTATATTTACTGTCTGCATCAAATATTCAGTACAGGTTCTTGTTCGGAACTACGATAAGAGAATGTGTTTAGATTTCAAAGCATCGGTCAACACACTTATGAGTTGGAAAGTTTTGGCAAGGATTTTTTAATACCTACTGAATGGAACAAACTTCACCTTAACTGAAAATTGTGAAATTACATAAAATTTCGTGTACGAATAGATAAAAAAAAAGCTGCCACTGAAATTATTACAATATTTAACTGTGACATACACCCTATTATATATACATATAATATGTATCACATATACATATATATACGATTCACTTGACTTATTTGCAGCTACTATAGAGTATATCTAACATTTTCTATTCAACTGCTTGGCTTTATATCACAAGCAACTATTTTTATACGATTTGTTGCTATCGTACTTATTTAGATTTTGTTGTTGTTGTTTAAGTTGTCATTAGCTGTCATATGCTTAGTATATGTATAGAGTACACAATTGCTTTTCAACGCCATTGGGCGCGCTGTGCGGAAATTTCTTATAAAATAAGCCAACAGTTGATTTCCGTTGGAACCCTGCCATCGTGGTGGAAATAGTAGCAGTAGTCCAGACGTACGAATTATCGTTGCTGTCTGAGTGGTAACTAGTAGAAGCACCTGTGCCGCAGGCGTGATATGGATATTAGCTGTGCTTCGACATGCGCAATTGCAGATACATATATGTATTTTAAACGTATGTCGATAGTTTAATGCACGCATATGCGACGAACAACATTTGATTTTATATGTTTGTATGCGCTTGGGTATATATAAGAATATTACTCATACGCCGTGACATAGACTGTAGCTATTATTAGTCCTGCTGTAAGCATATGTTTGCTATTTACTCCTAGTCTCACAGCCGTTTTCAAACAACTTTATGTCGGTTTTATGGTGCTCATGTGTATTTAATGTGTATTTGTTTTGAGTTTATTCATGCGAGCGCGCTATACCCATAGGGTAAATGTTTTGATGATGGTAATGTGCGAGGCAAGTGTTTGATATTTTAATCAAGAAAATCAATTAATGAGATTTTATAGTGAAAATATCCAAAGAATAACAGTTTAAATTTCTATTATTATTTTTTTTTATTTATATTTTTAATTTTGGTAAGCTCCTTTGTGTTGGAACTTAAAAAATATAATTAGAAATTAACAATTTTCATTGTGGATGAATACAAAGCAAGTTTAAAGTTTAAGATTATCTACTAAACGGATATCGAAGCTCCAGAACACCAGCTAGAGCTCAAAAAAGTAGAAGTAGATAATTTTTATCGTTGAACATTCCATTTCATTTAGGAATTTGAGACCTGGTCAAATCTGAAACTTATCTTGGATTACAACTCTACACGCCCAGACTACTTTAAAAACAGTAAGCTTCCGAAAGAATCAGTTTAAATACTAGTAACTATATAATTCAGAATGCGGCGAGAATCTTCTTATGATAACCAGCTAGGGTTTGAGGGAGGCAAAGTCGTTATTTCACCTAAAGAGTGCCAATTGTTCCATCCTACTTTATTAGCATAACAAGTAATTAGAGGTAGCAAACCTCGACTGCCTCTCTAAAAAGGCCATGAGGAAATTACTGCCCAACTTTATGAACGCACGGTGATATTTGGAGTTGGAAGGAATTTACTTCCAGCCTGGGCAGATAGTAGCTGGTCTCTACTTCTGCTCTTATCAAAGATAGATAAATGCAATCAATCAAAACTCAAACTTCAAAGAACTGGGCAAACTAAGCTCTGCAGCTGGTGTTTGTCACAAATTTGTCACAAATATTCGGCTATGATTTTCTTCATTAAAGAAGAAGAATTCCAGATTTCAAGCTGTTCGGAAGTGTCTAGTAAGTCCTTCCATAAGCTTCTTTTATTTTTTATAAAGAAACCCATGGCTAAACGATAGTCTACCGGCCTTCCATTAATAATATATTTTGTTCTGTATAACCTCAGTGTGAAGACCCATATGAATAAGGCCGTATGGCATTCCATCTAGATGAATAAAGTGTTATGTACTGCTGCCACACAAATTTCTGTACTCACATGAACTATATTCATATAAATTTAGAATCATCAAGCCCGGCACAGTTATTTACGTAGCAGCTGCTTAGCCACTAAAAATTTTAATAATTTTTGCGCATATTTACTGCAAAGCCATTATGAGCTCTATGCCACACGCCACATACGCAGAAAATGCGGAATGCATAACAAACATATTTACATAGAGCTTTAGTGGCAGCCACATTAGACCAGGCGAGCGCTCCATTTGCATGCAGTAACATGAGGCGAGCTGTTTTAATGAAGTTTCTCCATTGCGTTTTTAACCAACCACTGGCTGGTGTTGGCGAATAAAAGCATGCCACACATGAGCGTGTGTGCGTATATACAAAATAATGTGTATTATACATATATATGCAAAAAGCTGGTAGTAAGGGAAATTTACTTACTTTTCTATTACTTTTTTCATGCTGAAACGCTGCAATTTGCAAGCAAACTCTTTGCGCTACTTTGTTATTTACAATTAAAAGATTTTCATATTTACATACAAGTGTGTGCAGCTATTTTCTAGCAAATATTTTCGCTATATTTATTTAGTTTATTTTTTTTTCAACACTCAATTACCACTTTCATTTATATTGTTTGATATTCCACTCTCTCTCTCTCTCTCTCTCTCTCTCTCACTCGTTTAGTGGTTTCCGAGTTGTGGGGTCCGCAATGCGTACGTCTGAAGGTCACCGCGAAAACCGACAATTGTGGTGAAAGTGCTGAATGTTCGGGCAAAGGTGTGTGCTACTCCAATGCAGCTATGGAGGAGTATGAGTGCCAGTGTTGCAGCGGCTTCGCTGGTCCACATTGCGAGGAGATCGATGCTTGTACGCCAAGTCCATGCACAAATAATGGTATTTGTGTTGACCTCTCACAAGGACATGAGGGCAATTCGTATCAATGTTTGTGTCCTTACGGTAAGTTTAAGAAAGTTTTATATTTTTACGTCAACATGTTGATAACAATTGCATATGTGATTCAAGGTAATAAAGCCATTTTCAGTGAAAAGTCATTAATTAAAATACTTCAGGTGAAAAACTGGGAAAAGAACTTGACTTTCAGTGAACGAAGTGTGAAGAGAGAGTTATGTAGTTATTTTTTGAGCAAAAACAAAAATTTTCGCTTCCTCTTATCTTTGGCTAGCGTGAGTGTGATTTACACGACGTCATGCCAGGAACTCCTTTTACTTTTCTTGATAATACTTGTAGACACCTTCTGATCTTTCCTGGAAAATTCTTTGTATCTTCAAAAATGATTTCGGACAAGTGACCGCCCTGGCTTGTTCGAATGAACAAAAAAACAAAATTTCGAGTTTGCTGCAGCTGAGGCCGTTTGTAAGCTATAACGCGCCACATTTTTTTCCAAGGCATCAGAGCTTTCGGATGGCTTCACATAATTCCATATAAAAAAAGATACAGCGCTGTTAAATCTCGCTATCTTCGAGGCCATGCTACAGACCCACGACGAGAGATAATGCTCTAACTAAAAGTTGCTTTCATTCATTAGTTCTATGACAGATTGGGGCCCCAAGGACCGCAAAATCTCCCATAAAGTAGAGTACCACATGTCCAATTGTTATGTCCTATAGACTCATACGGGTCTACTTCAATACTCAGCTTAACACCAGCAAAATGGTTTTCGCTGCGTACTTTGCGGACTCTGTAGGATGCGCCCAGGTTGGACGATTATATTGACAGAACTCCGCATGCAGAATCATTGTTTTGTGAGAAATCAAAACGCAATAACGAGAGCACGACGCTGGCAGCTCAGGCCAACAAATATTTACTTTGTCGTCTTCAAAATATGTTCCTTCCTTTCTTTCATTTTTTTTCAATAATCGGATCATACATTGTAGGCGCTATTCGGTATCGCCTTCAGCTCCCTCTGCAAATTTTCTTTTACGGCCTCAATTGAAACGAAATGGGTTCCATGTAGTGGTGCCTTGAGTTTTGGAAAAATGCCTCATGGCACCAAAACCGATAAATACGGTGGTGGATCGGTTGTACTGATCGTGTTTTTAGTTTTAAAATCGTTCACAACTACAACTCGGTGTGATGGTGCATTATTGCCATAAAATATACAAGAATTGTTTGCTCACGATAGATGTTCACGCCTGAAAATGCTCAAATAATACTCCTTATTGACCGACTGTTCCTTTGGAATGAGTTTATGATGAACCAAACTGCGAATATTTAAAAAAAAGTATATCCGGAAACTTTTTGGTCATTAAAGAGTCGATGAATTTTCGCGCACTAATGTCAACTTTCAGCCACCATTGCGAGAGAAGCTGGGGAGTGAGTGTAGGCTACGAAATTCACGGATGAATGCACCTCTCTGCAGCATGTGAGTAGATATGTTAAGAAGCTGACTCTTATATATAGTCACAATATAATAAGAGTTTTATGGAAGATTTCAATAAATATGAATATATTGTTACGATTTTGCTGAATCAACCTCGATGATTTTCTGAATCCTTCGGTTACGATCTCTGGATTGTTAGTTATCGGCTTCTCTCTTTCATCTGACATTCGCCTCGCATTTTCGCAACAATATGTTAAAGTGTTAATCAGAGGCAAAAGGTCAGTGGAATTGACGAGCAGTACTCTGTAATGAAGTCTCACTACCACCATAAATCCAACCCTTGATTATTTTGTTGTATTCAGTGATCAAATTATTAATCTTTACTTAGAAAGGAGCATATATTAAAACTGTACAAAAAACCAAACAGGATAGGACTATTAAAGCGTACATGACTAACCATATAATTGTCCATATAAAGCTGAAGAGAAAAAATTTATATTTTTCCCATATTTTATTACACATTTTATCCTTTTGCGGTCAAAAAGCATATTAGAAGCAATTCTCTACAACTTCATCTCACATTCGTGAGACAAATTTGCCTGTGGCGATTTACAAAAATCACAATTATCACTTAAATTAAACCGCCCTTCTTTACTTTTAGCTACAATGTGAGGGAAAATTTGAAAAAAAGGAGCACAAAAAAAAAATAAATCTAACTTCCATCTGCAAAGCTGCGTAGTAAGTTAAAATTTAATGGGGCATTATAATAACAAACTTTATTAAGCAACATTTCGCTGCATGTACGCCACAACTACAAACGAGCGATCTTATATAATATATATAAATGTATATACATAATATATTCAACGCACTGCCACAGCGGGATTTGATTTTGTGTAGTCCTTTGGCAAACCAGCCAACCAACAAACCAACCAACTGACCGACCCATCAACCAACGGCAACAACAACAATACAAAAAGGAACCAACTAAAGGCAAAACATTAAACCTTACTGTTCAATTCAACTCAAGCCAAGCGTTGGCCAGCTAAACAAGCAGCCAACATTGTAAGCTGCCATTGGTGGTCACTCGCACTAATTAAACTCAATTAGGGTCGCTATAGAAATAACTACAAATTTTATGGAACAATATATACTTTTAAAAGTAAAGCAAACGAGCAAGAAGATAAAAAAGAATAAGTAGCAAAAGAAGCAGAGCATGGCATATAGGAAAAAGTAAAATATTAAAAGAATAAATGAATGAATGAATAAGTGGTCGAATGACGAAAAGAGACGATGCGCACGAAACTAACCAACCAAGCGAACAACCGTGCAAGCGACCAAGCGACCAAGCGAAGACGGCGCATAAAGTGCATACACTTTGTAAACATACGCCTGGCGAAAGCAGAAAATAACATGATAAAGGCTCTTACAATGTAGATTATTGTTGTAGAAAGGGTTTTTTTTTTTATAGCAGATGAAAAATTATGAAATTAAAGAAAGAAAGGAAAGCTGACTACAATCATGAAATGAAAAATAAAAAAGTTACGTATACGCAGCGGTGAGCCGTACTGAGAGAAGTACCTGCCTTCACTTCATTTTAAATGGAAAATATGCGCAAACAATGCAAAAATTAGAATAAAAGAAAATTAATAATTATGTTTGAATGAAGAGTGGAAGTAGATGAATAGAGTTATTTGCCTAGCGGAGAAAATTAATATGATAGAAAATATATAAAAGAGTTTGAGTGCGGATTTTTAAAATATCTTTTTTTTTTTTAATAAATTTCACAATTGAGTTAAATTTTACTATAAACAAATTTCTGAAATAAAAAAAAGGAAATGAGCACAAATATTTTGGGCAAATACTCAGGATTGGAAGCCCACATCAAACCGTTGATAAGCTCACTAACCGCATACAAGCATTACGAAATTTGGAAAAAAAACAATAATTTTTGTACAAACAAATAAATATGTTGATCTAGTAAAATATAACTAATTATATTTGCGATAAATGGCTTTACCGAGTAGTATCTAGCGTCCTTTAGGTGCGATTGGATTACGCTAAATAGCATTGGAAAAATGATATTTATGCTACCATCTCCAGATTTTTCTTCGGTAAAGACGAAAAGGAAAATCTAGCAATTCATAATGTGACAACGTGTATAGTCCTTATACTTTAACAGTCAATCGTGTACACTACGTTGATTAAGTAAAAGAATTCATCAAATCATGCCGTCATATGAGTGCTATTTTGATTGCCCAGTAGCTAAACACTGCACAGAATATGCTTTAGAACCATTTGAAAAAGATACAAAAGTAGCTTCATGTATGAGTACTATATGAGTTAATGAGAATGATTATAAATAATGAATAAAAGTGGTTCACTTACAGTTACGTTGCAATTTTTGTATATATAATTGGCGCTTTGTAACCGCTAAAGCGATTTTCGACCGCAAATTTGAGGTTTTTGCGTCTTGTCGTTTTTCCAGCAAATGGGAGAACCTACATTTTTTACTAAGCCGCCTCCGAACGGCTTATAGTTTTTTTATGAGGAGCTTTTATTTCCTGTCCTACATACACTTGGGGGGTTGACATTCCCTGCCGAAGGGCAACCGCAATTGGAAAACTTAACTTAATTATGCATTAAAATATAAAAATAATGGACTACAAAATCTAATATTATATAAGTAAACTTGAGCTCATTAATATATATAACAAAACATATATACATACATTTAAATAACTTCATAATATCATTACTATCAAATATGGTTGAAACTAAATAAAACCACACAAAATAATGCGCATATGTATGCATTTGTATTCGTATGAATTTTTAACCACTACTACACTCACTCGCTCACTCACACTCTTGCCACACAAAAGAGTTTCATGGAATTCCCAAGAGCGTAAATAATACTATTAATTTCATTTCACTTTTATTTTCTTTTTATTTTATTTCCACATTTGTCATTGTTGTGGTATTAGTAATTGCGTTATGCGTATGTTTATATGTACATATATATGGATGAGTACTGGTGAGCAACTCCAATGTAAGAATGGATTATTAAGTTAATTATATACGAGTGCCCGAAGCGTAACAAACTTTTGCAGATTAATTTTAAAGTGCACTTAAAAATATGCGATTTTATGACAAAAAAAAAATGCACGAAAAGTATTAATTGATAAAAAAAAACCTCAGTTTTAAGTGGTATTAATTATCATGGAGCAATGTTTTATACAAAAAAAAATTTTGAAAAATTCCCACTAACTGCAATAAGCAATGAAGCATACTTGAAATTTAAAAAGGCACGCATTTAAAGTAAGCAGCCAACAGTGGAACACCGACATAAAAATTGTGTTAAAAAATAATTTTGTTAAAAATAAAATGCTTCCTGTCTATGTTGATGTGTGCGACTGACGGCTCTAAACTCGATGGTAGGGTGGGCATGAGCAAATGACTTCCTGAACCCTGCAGCATCTTTCAAGTAAAACTTACTGCAATTATGGCAGCCACTACTTTTTCACACAATTCACATTCAACGAAGAACTGTTCAGTTTGTTTGTGACATTCAAACCAATAAATCGGTTTCTGTGACACCTAAAATCGCCACAAATTCCGTGAAACCGATATGCAAGTCCATAACCTCTTGAGCAGAAATTTGTTGGTTTTAGTTCGGATTCTGACAACAGTCCGTTTCTGTAACACCACGGATAGTATATTTTGTGTAACCAAATTTTTTTAAAGCAAGCTCGTTTCACAGTTGTTCCACTGTTTTTTTGCCTACATTTTGATTGCTGCCGTTTCAGGTTGCACCGTCGCACAGACTTTTCATTTTCAAGCTGGCTAGAGTCGTACATCGTTGAATGATAATTAAAGCGCTGTCCATTTTGTACCCGGGAACTTGTACCTCCCTGCCGTAACTAACTTAGGACCCTTCTTTTCTAAATCATTCAGACAAGCGCTTTGTAGAAGTGAACACGAAGGTGGTCAACAGGCCTGAACTCTTTCCTACCCCACAATAGACTAAATGTCTTGCTATCAAAAAATAAAATTTTTTTTCAATGGAACTGTTTGAGACTAAATAATTTTTTATAAATAGTGAAAAAATTACAACAATAGTTTTGGACTAAAAACTTTTGTTACTGTAAATTTAAGCCTATGATCTTAGTGATATATAAGAATATTCACTTGTTTATGATGTTTCAAGCTCTTAATTCAATTTAATATAGCTAAATATTAAACCATCTGAGTTTTTTCTTTTAATTCAGGTTACACGGGCAAAAACTGTCAATACGAGTCAGATCCATGCAACTCCGCAGAATGTATGAATGGCGGTACCTGTGTGGGCAATTCCACACATTTCAGGTGAGTTTATTTCTAATAGGTTATAAAATTTTTAATTCATTATAAAATCACATGTATTGAGCAAACGGAAAACGATTCAAAAGAAATAAAACTGTTAAAATTAAAAAAACTGAAATTTACATATAAATATATATGTGCATATAGGAGCACAAATACTTAAAATATATATTTATGTATGAAACATCAACACAAGCAAATATCAAATATAATTTTTTGCTTAAAAAAAAAAACGAGGAATCATAATTGCTCTACTATATTAATTTTACTTTTATTTTATTGATATTATTATTATTATTTTTTTTTTTTTTTTTTTTTGTGAATACACAAGTCTTTCTGGTCTTTTGTGCATTCATATATTTTCGTACCTATTTCTTTATGGCCGCAACATTTCGTTTAATGCAATCAAATAAGTTAAAACAACAAAGAACCTTTATTCACTCACTTCAATTCAATAGACACGCGTTGCGCGGCATGCTTTCGTATGTGACTGAGCGAGTGTGTGTGTGTGTGTGTGTGTGTGTGTGTGTGTGTGTGTGTGTGTGTGAGTGAATAAGCGGGTATTTGTGAGTAGTGAGAGTTAGCGTGTGACTTTTAGCGCAAAATTCATTCGCGACCGCAATTGAACAATACAAACACCACAATACATGAACAGCGTATCTACAAAAATAACAATAAAAACCACCGCACATGCCTCTATGTAGATATGTAAGTTTGTATCTGTATACATAATAAACCAAACCGCAATGCAAAGAAGCAAAAACACAACGAAAAGCACAAGTTTTGCTTTATGGCATTTAATTGTACAAAAAAGCAATGTTTTTCTGCTTAGCAATATGTGTGTGTGTTTTTGCCAACATACAGACACACATATATTTATGTGGATATTTATGTGGATATAAATACATATATGTACAGCGATATATTTATTTGTCAAGGTATTTTCGCTTAATATATTGTACATATTTGCCAAGTTTCAGCTAGATTTCCAAATAAATTTCGGAAAAAGACCTACCAAAACACCCACATAAATATGTGTTTGTATGCAAGGTAACCTCGAATAGTTTTGCCTCATAGCGTTTATCTTCCTCATTTATTCCATTACCAACTGTTCTTATACATACATACAACGCACATTTAAATTTACATACACACACATTTAACAATTGAATACACTAAAATACATTTATTATAAACTATACCTTTTATCTTTTGTTTATTTGGAATTTGTCTATTTGTATATATGTTTGTATTTGTCTATGCACTTAACCAGATGTGACTGCACTCCCGGCTATACGGGCCCACTGTGCCAACACAGCCTCAACGAATGTGAGTCATCACCGTGTGTACACGGTATTTGTGTGGATCAAGAGGATGGTTTCCGTTGTTTCTGTCAGCCGGGTGAGTACATACACATAAGACGTATTTAAAATGGCAATGTTGATGGAATTTCATTTTATTTTCACGGCATTGTTTTGCACGAATTTTTTCGTTTTTAGTTTCAGTTTAACTATTTCGGTGCGGTGGGCTTCGTTGCAAAACGATTTTTGCTGTAGTTTTGCCGAATTTAAGCATTATACTAAAAAGACATTTTTTTATTTTATTTTATTTAATTTTATTTTATTTTATTTTATTTCATTTATTTTATTTTATTTTATTTTATCTTATTTTATTTTATTTTATTTTATTTTATTTTATTTTATTTTATTTTATTTTATTTTATTTTATTTTATTTTATTTTATTTTTTTTTATTTTATTTTATTATATTTTATTTTTTATTTTTTTGTTTCATTATTTCTTTTTATTTATATACATATTTGTTTTTGTATATTTGACTCGTTATTAAATCCTTTAAAATTAAATACTATTGATTTAATTATTTATACATGTATCAGTTTTCATATTTTCCATCCCCACTTTCCAGTTCACATTAATTTCTTTTTACATCACCGCCAAGCTCTAACCTACTGTGAAAATAACAGTACTACTCCAACTATGTGAGTGGCACTTCTAAAGCGCCACAATTGAAGCACAAGCCACGCCAAATAAGCAAATAACCAAATTCTGACTACTCTACACTTGAAATTCTCAATAACATTGATTTCCCCCAGCCGTTTTCGCCAAATAAAACCACGAGAGGAAAGGTTTTTTTTAGTTTCTTTTTTTTGTGAAATCTGCATACACATTGACTTAATTTAGTTTATTATATGTAGCAGCGGCTAGTTCACCCACAACCGAATGGATTCAAGTAGGTTTGTATGCATGTTTATATGTATATATTTTATACTATACGAAATGGATTGCATGGATTTTGTGCGCGAATTCGTTACAAATGGAATTCCAATAAAACACTACGTGCAACAAATACCACATGCTCGCGCATATGTTTATATGTATGAAGGTGTGAATACGCACAGTATGCAGATAACAAGCGGCAGCGCCACATTCACTTTGTTTGACATTCAAGCGCTCGCAATGGAACAAACAAATTAAATTCACGAATTGTTTCGAGTGCCAAATGAGATTTAGTTTTGCCAAATGGTGAATACTGAATACCAAATGCGTTCTTTATTTAAGTGACAAATGTTGTATTCCACTACGTCGGTTGGTGGTGAAATGAAAAATTCAATTAGATTGCAGTAGATTTCACAGACACAAATCAATAAGGACCATATTTAAATTAGCATAGGGAGGAATGTCATCAGCAAAATGAGTGTGACATTTGGGTACGAAAAAATTCCATGGAAATGGAAAATAAAACAAGGTAAAAATAACAAACCATAAACCCCAGAGAAATAATATTCGCAAAAAGGTGTGAATATATGTAAATCGCACAAGTGTCACAAGGCAAGAAACACCTAGCAAATTTCAGAGAAAAATACAAGAAAAATATCTATAAAAGAAAATTCCGTCCAAATGTCTCGTAAGAGCACAGTTATGGTAAACCAAAAAAATAAATGAAAATGCAAATGCTTACTGACAACTGTTTTCCTTCCCCCCACCCACCGGGCTGAGCAAAACAACTACTACTTAGCGTAAAAGTATCAAAATAAAATGTAAACAACATTTTGGGTAAAGATATTCAAAGATATGCAAACCGTCATAGACGACTGTCGACTGTCAACCGAATGGCTACTTATTGTATACCATTAACTGGCGTCATTTTCAATTTGTTTGCACAGTTGTTGGAGTTTTAGTCCCCAGTGGCATACCCTGATCAACAATGCATCATTGATTCGACCTCTAATTTAATGTACGCACAAAAGTATGTACGTAATAAAAGCGTATAAATAAATTTATGCTAATCAAATGCAAAAGTTATATCTACCGTTGTATGTATGCAGAGAATATTAGGGACCTTTGTGAATTTTTAGGATTTTTTTCTTCTTTAAAACGACTGTTGAAAAATGAAAGATTTTAGATTGCCATAAAATTTCATGGCTAAGTCCAAATCATTTGTTGCTCTCAATAAAATTTCTTATATTCGATATGATTTCTGTGAACAGTCACATCTGAAGGACTCCATGTGTTCTATGTAGAGTTTAAGAGAGATTCAACCACTTGTAGAAAAAAGTGATAATTTATCTTCTATTCCCATTTAACTCTCAACTGCGTGAACAGCTGTTAAAGAGCAGAAACACTATTAATGCTTGTTCTCCGAAGGCTTAGTGGCTGTCTTTTCTAATTTGCTTTGCTTTAGATTCGTCGAGAGTTAAGCCCGACTTGACCAACTGCTCAGCATTTTCTTTCCGAAAATGTTCCTCTGGTCGTAAACTCGGATTATGGAGAAATCGAAGTGATCTGTTAGCGAGCTTGAATTGACTGTTGATGACTGTTGATGATACAACTGGCGACGATCCCACCTGTAATACGATATAAATTTATTATTTTTCATTACTGAAATTATGTCTCTACACGCTGAAGGCTCAGAACCTGGTTCAATTTGATTTCAATTTAAATTTTCAAAAATTCTTACAGCGTTCACGAGTGTCCAGAGACTTTTTTTAACTAAACCTTACCTTGTAGTTACTAATAAAATCGTTCAGAGGTAGACTAGGTATCGTAAAATTTGACCCTTACCTCAATTGATTCCCCGCTTCTCTGCTCTTGCACATGGTTTTGACAATAGGCGGTTGAGTTTTTGCCTCTAGCAAATACACTGTTTTTATTTAATGCTCCCAAGAGATTTTATTAACGTAAAATTTAATGTTTCCAATGCCGTTTCCTGGAGTGTTGGTTAGCTCAGCACCTTTCCCATTGGAAAAATTTCAGCCTGGAGAGTTATAAAATAATCCGGCAGCAGAAAAATTTTCCCATGCTCCACTCTGTTTTTTTTTTTTTTTAAATGTTGTGAGTTGCGTGCGCACAAAGCTCGATCCCACTGGGAAACCTACTTCTTCTTTTCGTGCTTAATTAACTATAACCAATGGTTTAGCCAGAGCATTTACATGAAACCCCCAATATGTCACGATATTTTCAAACACTAATTTTATGGACAATGGGTAGAGCAGAGGTTGGGCCGAGTGTCTTTCTGACAACTCAAAAAAATCTCTTCCTCAAATGTGGGAAAAATTCATTTTTGAAAAACCACATTGGATGAGAAGCTTGGCCGAAACCCGCTTCAGCGGTAACAAAGCGCAAATTATACAGGTTCAAGTCTCGGTGCGACCACATCCAAAAGTTACAGAAAATTAATTTAAATAAAAAATAAGTTAAATTTCCTAACTGCGGGTGACCCTCGGAAGGAAATGTTTATGAAAAAAAAAAACCATCAGACATTCGAAAACGGCTTAGTATAAACTATAGGTCCATGTTTTTGTTGGAAAACATTATTGGAAAGTATTAGGCACCCCACTAATTACTATATTTTTTATTTTAATAAGTGAATCAATGAAGTTTTGTTAGTAAAACAGTGTAAATATCAAATTAATTAGTGATAATAACATTACATTAGAAGGTGCACCCTTCGATTTAATAACGGCAGCAATTCTCTTAGGCATCCTGCGTACACGCTTTGCACATTTACCACTCGTTAATTAAGGCATTCTTTAAGGCAATTTTTGATCTTCTACTGTGTTCCTTAATCTTGCGTTATAAAATAGCCCACATGTCCTCAATGGGAATAAGATCTGGAGACTGTCACTCTAGCAATATCTTGTTGAAATTTAACGCCGTCTAAATTAATATCGCCGTAAATGCACGTTAACGAAAGCAGAAGAACAACTTCTAATACATTTATGTACTTTTGACTGTCCATGCGACCCTCGCAAATGAATATTTCGCCGACATCATTGGCAGCCATGCAGCCCCAGATCATAATGCTACCTACACCATGCTTAACAGTGAGGTACCACGCAATCTGCATGATATTCTACCCCAACCCGTCGCCTCACGAATGTCACACCAGGTGTTCCAAATATCTGCAGAAAAGAAGAAATAATGTTTTCATAAGATTTGTATTATGTCTTCAAAATTGCTCTAGGGTAAAAAAGCTATGGCTGGTAATACTTTAAGACGATCTTAACTAAACTTACCTCGAACTTTTATTCTTCATTTGATTCTATGGTCTGAACATTCGACCAATCTTCTTCCGTGAAATGTTGATATCGGCGAGTCCTTTCCTAACGATTTTTCCTATTCCTTTCTGAGAGCCACTGCTTCTTTTGGGCTCTACATCCTTTTGAGCCTGCTTCCAGAAGTCTTCTTCTAGCTATTCGAGCACTAATTGGTTTACTAAATTCATCCGAAAGGGCAACTGAGAGGGTATAAGAAGATTTGTTGGGATCCATCCAGACTCGCGTATAAGTATTCGGTCTTCTCGATTACTGGTTAGACGCTTTCTTCCACTTTTTGATTTATTATTGTGCGATGTGGTCTCCACAAATCGCCTGATAGCACATTGGACCGCGAACATCCCACCAATCCACCACACCCCAGACTTACCATCTTCACTTAGAACTTGAATTGTAACTCTATCATCGTAACTAATTTCACCCTTTTTAAGCATTTCGGTAAATATGAACCGATTTTATAAGATTGGTAACTTTTCACTAAATGTAATTTACACTTTCACTTTCAAAATTTAAATGTGAAAAAATTTTATGAATTTCTTAAAAATGATAATTTAAAAGTTTAGCTTACAAAGAGTGTTATGCCTTTTAATATTACACAATTTATTCGTTTAATCAACAGTTAAACACCCTTGTAAGACATTTACAGTAAGAAGTCGTAACTTTTATAGCCACATTTGAGAATACTTGTATTTTAGTGGGGCTGCCTAATACTTTTGGCCAAGGCTGTATACATAATTATACATTATCTGTAAAAACATTTCAATACTTCTTCCCTCCCTTTCGTCATTGAGTTTTCGCAGTAGCTTGCTACTCAGAGCTGCTTCAAGCTAATTTCCTCTATCTACCAATAACAACTTTGAACTGATTAGACAGTTGAAAGGTAAATGTCTCTCTTGTTGAATAAAATAAAATTCTATGCTCTAAGCGCTCATCATTCGCGTTTCTCTACATGGTGCAGAATCGTAAACCACGAGTTGGAATTATCGAGAGAAGATTTTGTGGAAGATTTTTGGTCCTTTCAGCCAATGGAACAGTGCGGTGACATTAACATAGGTCGCGAATAAGGAAACAGTGGCTTCGCTGGCTGGAAAGTATCAGCTAGAGGATGAAAGAGTTACACTATATATATTCATTTGAGCTGAGACACCTGGTAAATGGCACGAATGGCAGACTATGGCTGAATGACTTATGATCAAGTACGCCAACGAAAAAGAGCGATGTAGACTCGACGGTTTCCTTGCCGCGAAATTTTACTTTTTTGGTGAAACATATCATGCTCTGCGTTTGCTTCTTTCAGTGTTTTACCATAAATTTTCACACTCTAAATGCAACAAACTTTTTTACCAAATTATTTAGTATATCAATATAGTAAATTTAACAAATTACGATTCTATCGCTATTTTTCGATGTAACTTGTGAGCTACCATTTTGCCAAATTGAATAATTTTGCAAACGAATGACGTAGTTTTGTATCAAAATCTATTGGATGAGTGCATAAGTTCGTGCCCGATTTCAAGTGCAAACTAAAATTGAAGTTTTTTGTAGAAAGCGCTTTTATTAATCAATTATGTATTCGCCATCATATTCGGCAATCCACTCCCAACGTTCAACCAATTTACGGATGCCTGATTCATAGAAATCGCGCGGTTTCTCGTTGAAAAAGATGTCAAGGTGGTATTTGACGTCTTCCACATTTTTAAATTTTTTTCCATTCAAATTGTTCTGCAGCGATCGAAACAAATGATAATCAGAAGGTGCAATGTCGGGTGAATATGGGAGATGTTGCATGATTTCCCAATTCATCTCCTTCAGTTTGGCCAGGCTCGGTTTTGCAACATGTGGCCTGGCGTTGTCATGATGGAAAAGAACTTCTTTGCGATCGGCCAAAATCGGACGTTTTTCATCAATCGCTTTCTTCAATTTGACCAATTGCTGACAATACTTGTTGGCAGTGATCGTTTCCCCAGTTGGTATGAGCTCAAAAAAGATCACGCCTCGGATATCCCACCAAATGCACAGCAGTACCTTCATCAGATGCAATCCACCTTTCGACATCGGTTCCGCCCCTTCGTGTGCCCGTTCCCATGTTCTTTTGCATTGAACATTGTTGTACAGGATCCATTTTTCATCACCAGTCACGTGCCGGTCCAAAAAAGGTTCGTTTTTGATCCGTCGAAGCAAAGAAATTGCTGTTGACATACGGTCCACTTTGTTTTTTCACTCACCTGATGTGGCACCCATGTATCGAGCTTCAAATTGTACCCAACCTTTTTTAAACGACGAAACGCAGTTGATTTGTTGACGTTCAATTCGCAATCTTCGAGGTTAAAATCTCCAGAACGAAATTTCGCGAACCATTTCTTTACTGTGCGGAGTGCTGGAGCACGGTTCAAATAAATATAGATTATTTTCAAACAATATTATTTTTAATCATTACTTGAGCGCAAAAAGTGTTATTAGTATCACCAATGGGGACACAATCACTGTCATATTACCGCACAAAAGCATTAAAGTAAATATAAAAAATCAGCTTGGTTTCAAAGTTGATTAAAGTGAAAGATAAATGTTGAAAAATCTTTTCATCCCAGTTACGTAATGAGAAATCACATAATGACATATTTAATATGCATTGAAAGTATTTTTTATTAATTTTATTTCGTTTTATTTTCCCTTTTTGTTTTTTGCCTCATATAAAATATAAGGCAACTCACTTTGATGTACCACAAACTACTGGCTGCTGGCTTACCTGTTTGCAAGCATTTACGTTTTTTTTGGCACACATTTTCCAGTTCATAAATCATTGGTGACATCATATCATCTGCATAAATCTCATTAAAAGCATTTCCATTAGTTTTCATTTCTCTACACAATTCTGCCAATATCCACCGAATACTACTACATATAGAACATAACTACGAGTATGCATATCTCTTCTCTTGCTAAAAAATATTTTTCCCCGCATTTCTTCTTTTCTCCAATTTCTTGCGCTTCGTTATTTGCTGATGTCAAAAAAAAAAAAAAAAAACGAAAACGATTGATATTTCCCGTTGCCATCGTCGTCATCGACAACATGATTGCCACACGCCAACACACACACTCGAATACGTACATATCAACTGGCGCACAACTGTACAAATAACTAACCATACACACAAACATACCTACCGGTACAAACATCATTGAGTAATGGTTTGATGATTGCATTCATCTATGGCATCACAGGTTTCGCTGGTGAACTTTGCAATTTCGAATATAATGAATGCGAATCGAATCCATGTCAGAATGATGGCGAATGCATCGATCACATTGGCAATTTTGAATGTCGCTGCACTAAAGGATATACGGGAGCGCGTTGCCAAATTAAGGTAAGCACTCACTAATTGTACTATATATATATATACGTAAATAAGTATTTGGAGTACCGTATTTTATTTATTTTCTCTTAACTAAGAAACGGTGGATATATGCATAGTAGGAGATAACGATGAACAAAATGTTGTATCAGAAAAAGAGAGAAAATCCAAACAAACCAAAAATTAGCCAAATTGATATAATCACTTTTCGCCCCAAATAACTCAATCTAAAGCTACAGAGCATTACGGTAGTTTAGTGAAAATGTTTTAGGAAATTTTAGAAAATTTTTGATCGATTTTCAATAAAATTAGGAACCTACAAAAATATATTCTAAGCCGCACCCGGACAGCGCTTGAATTTTTATGAGGAAATCATGTTCAATTGGATAGACATTCCCTGCCAAACGACGATCGCAGAATTACAATCTGATCTCTTTGTGAACGCCATTTAGCAATCTCTCTTCGTTTATACATACAATATCTTCTGGGCTCTCAACTGGGAATCAAGTCCCCAGAAGAAAGGGTTTATATTTAAAAGTAGGTTGTATTATTAAAAAAATCGAGGTATATGTTATCCATTAATAGCAAACTAATGCCTCCACGCTACCCTACGGCCGCATAACTGAAAACTAGCTTTAAGTAAGCGAGGGTTAAGCTCTTCTGAGCCCGTGTGAATTGCAGTATGTGATCAAGGAATATATAAAAACTCAAAACACGCTTAGATGCCGGGCTTTAAATATACGATTTCAATTTTTTACACATGCTTGAAGCTTGATTCTTAAACTTTTAACTACGAGAGAACTAGTTTTTGTAAAAACCGGCTGCTTCTACTCGAATTACTCACTTCAACGGAGGTACGGAGTGGTATAAGCTCTTCCTCCATCAGTTGAGAACCTGAAACGTTTTAACTTTAACTTTTTATGTCATATAGCTGCAGCTACAGTACCAAAGATCGCATTTTTTCTTCACTATGGAATAATAACTTGTCTCTTGCTTTGCTGTCCTAACATTTTCTTCGACATATGCCTACAAATCTACTAGTTTTTTGAAGACTGTACCTCCTTCATGTGGCTCTGAACTCCATATTTTCACAATCTCTTTGAAGAGATCAAACGGTAACCTATCAACTTTACCAATATCTCGTTTTGATATGGTTCATCTTCCACGATTATTATTATACGCTGCTGGGGCAACCTCGGCGTGTCTATGACTCTGTATCAACTAATTTAGACATTCGGATCTCCCTGTAATTGTTACTTCCTCATATTTCTTTATATTCTTTTAATACGGTACATAAACTGGCCATCCCCCCTTCGCCCTAAATCAGTTCATTTGCATTTGAAGTACCAAGAATCGCGGTGGACTATTGATGCGCTCAAGAGGTCAAACGTTGAGTTGCTTACTGCTTAACGAGGAACTTAATTCATTGTTTAATAGTTTGAATACAACATATTGCTATCTAATACCATATACAAGGTTTTTCCAGTCTGAAATTATTTCAGTCCCACGGTGGTGGTTTTCGGTCAGGAGTTTGCAGAACTATATGTTGTGACAACTGCTTCGTCTAATTAATTGATGCATTATTTTGTTGTATATTATCTTGCACATAATTACTCAGATCGTTATAAAATACTAAATGACTCGGAGATATGTACCTTTAGTTAACCAACTGCAAGCCACCTAGTACTCGATTGTACTACATAACTGGTCTGAACAATAGCATCAGAATATAAATATAAATATAAATATAAATATAAATATAAATATAAATATAAATATAAATATAAATATAAATATAAATATAAATATAAATATAAATATAAATATAAATATAAATATAAATATAAATATAAATATAAATATAAATATATAAAATAAATATAAAATATAAATATAAATATTAATATATATATAATTAAAGTTCAATAAATCAGGAGAATGAGTTTTGAAAATTGGGGAAATACGACTGTAGGAAAATGTATTTGTATGCGTAAAAATCTTGAGAAAAAACTGTGTTACGACACCGTGGCAATATCTGCTTATGTCGCACTCTAACTTCAGCGATATCCCTCGTAGAATATCAAACAGACGAACCAGAGCTTAAGCTACGAAAAAAATTTTGCGGTTCGATACTCGTTCATTGGTCAACTGCTTAATTGTTTGTTCAACATTTTCGGAATTTTAACTAATTCGTCAGTGCAATAATCATCAATTATTTTTCGGCGGACGAGGTAGCCGAGTGATTAGCATTGCGTACTGCCATTCGAAAGGCTCGGTTTCAAATTCCAGTGCGACCAACACCCAAAATTTATGAAAAATTCGTTCGAATAAAAAATTAAGTTAAATTTTCTAATTGCGGTCGCTCCTCATAAAAAAACCCATTAGCCGTTCGGAGACGGCTAAATACAAACTTTAGGTCCCTCCATTTGTTGGAAAAACATCAATACGCAAAACCACAAATTGGAGGAGGTGCTCGGCCGAAAATCGTTTCAGTGGTTACAAAGCGCCAAAAACGTACTAAGAAAATCTTCAACTTTAATTTTAGACTGAAATTTGATAGTCAACACATTCAATCACTTCTTTATATATAGTTTTAAAGTGCTAAAATAACTAAAAAAAATTCTAAATCTCTAGCATTATTCTTGTCTAATTTTTAATAATTTCAATTTTGTCTATGACGACCAGCTCATATTTCTTGTTCTTCTTTACCTACGGCTCTACAACGATTTGTCGATTTCTGCCGAGAAAAAAAAATTTTGCCAACCTTCTCTCTCCTTGGTAATTCAGTACAAGAGCAAAGAGATCTTTCTGGATTTGGTTCCTCCATGTTGTTCGGAGGCACCTTGCTTTCCGCCGTTCCAACGCTAACGGGGACATGGATCTTGCATAAAATGAATTTACCGAATTCTCTCGACGGCATTGGTGATGTTAATGCTGGATTCTTGATAAACAAAGTCCTTTATAACTGCAGCATCAAATTGAAAAGTTTGGAGTCGATAATTTTTTCTATTTAGTGTGCGAACTTGAACTCAATTAAGACTCTGTCTGAACTTAGGAAGCATAAACAAATTCAATATTCAAATCTGCTTGCATATTTTTCTCTTCTATTTAATCAAAATGTTAGCTCATTTTTTTTTTCTATGAGTCAATGAAATGAAGATTTTTTATTTCTTGTACAATTTTTTCCTTGTACTTCATTTACCCCCACACACTAATTGCTGCCATTACACTCAGTTTGCTATCTCCACATGAATAAATAATGAAATATTACGCACACGAAAAACACTAACACATCCACATTTATACTGATTTATATACATACAAAGTAGCAAAGTTGGAGCTGCTTGTAATATCTTATTACTCAATGCAGACAAACAAAAAAATGTTTTATCAACTTACCAACTAACCACCGACATCTTTCTCATGTCCACTCACATTGTAGGTGGATTTTTGCGCTAACAAACCTTGCCCCGACGGACACCATTGTATTGATCATGGAAATGATTTTACCTGCGAATGCCCGGGAGGGCGCAATGGACTAGATTGTAATCAAATGCCACCACGGGTAAGTCATGATTTATGCAAAAAAAAAAAAAACAAGAAGAAGAATATATTTTTTTTCGTTTTCGGAAAACACAAAAATGTATGTGTATGTGATTTGTGTGTTTGCATTCATGTATATTTACGAATGCATAAACAACATTGACAGCGCGCTGCCAAGGGATTCGAATTCCGTGTAGCAATACGGATAAAGCACAGATAGTGCTTTTTCTGTGGAATTGAGCCAAATTTATTGTGATTAGATTTTCATCAGCGAACAGCGAAATCATACATACTTGTGGGTTGGGCTTACTACGGTGGCCATAAGTCAAAATAGAACAATTTCGCATTTCCTAACAAAAAAAACCTACTGAAAAACTATGAACATTAGCGCGAAAATTCGCTACTCGGAATGGAGATATATAACAGTTATTTCCAACTAAGCGAAATTATATGCAACCAGTCGTCGATGTCAGTCGAAATTCATTAGTTAACTCTAGTTTAAGTCTAAAAGCCTGCCTCTGTTTGGCTTTACGCTTTAGCTCGAAAACTTTGTTTACAGTTATACATTTCAATTCGAACAATTTGCGCTTTATTTTCTGCGTTTCACTTTTGCTGTCAATTCTTTGCTCTAATAAAATACGAGTATGCAAATTGGCATTGTTGCCGGTTAGTTTGGTTTGCATAACGAACTACATACATACATACATACGCAGTATCAATTTTAGTCACATATATACATGCGCATATAACTACATATATAAATCGAGCGTTATTAGTTTTGCATAGCATTTGGCGTTTGTAAAATATTTGCACTCGTTTCTCGTTCCGTTGTAATGGAGCATACGAAGCAAGCAGCTAAAATCAATTTGCGTTAACCGGTTTATCTTTGCACGAGATTCGTTTACTTAGACGAAATATTAGATAAGAGAAAATACTATTTGGAATTAGATTAGTAAAACTTTTTTTGGTACAGAATTTCAGATTTTTAGTGAGTTTTGGTGTGCCATAATTTGCAAAAGCTGGTGGGTTGAGCGCAATATCTGGCGCCGAATGCCTAGAGATATTTGAAGCAAAAATGTTTCGTTGTATTTTTGTCAATGTTTTTTGAAACAAAAAAATGTAATGAATATTTTTAATGAAAAAAAATAATAAACTTAAAAGAACATATTGATAAACTAGCTGACCCCGCAGCTGTTGTCCTGCATAAAATTATGTTGTTTGAAAAGAAAAGAAAGTTGAATATTTATTTTATTGATAAGCCTTTATTTATGATTTATTTTCAATGAAACGCAGCTTGATAAGCGAAATTTTTCATGTTCTGTTCCGGTGCGTAAATGTACAGGGATGATAGTCTTCCACGCCTAGCAGGCCGTCTGAAAAACATGACATTCCCATATACACTTCAAGCGACTGCTCTTGTGACCTAATAATTGTCATCACAAATGCAAGTTTCACTCGAAACTGAATACGTTTGAACTGATATATCAAATCGTTGGAACTCAACGGAATTCGTGGAAACAATAATTCTGCCCACTTTCAAGTCCCTTTCAAACTCGCAACTATCACATTATTCGATAGCTGCGTCACAATCGTTCATCATGAGTGCATAAGTTCGTTCCCGATTTCAAGTGCAAACTAAAATTGAAATTTTTTGAAGAAAGCGCTTTTATTAATCAATTATGTATTCGCTATCATGTTCGGCAATCCACTCCCAACGTTCAACCAATTTACGGATGCCTAATTCAAAGAAATCGCGCGGCTTCTTGTTGAAAAACGTGTCAAGGTGGTTTTTGACGTCTTCCACATTCTTTAATTTTTTTCCATTCAAATTGTTCTGCAGCGATCGAAACAAATGATAATCAGAAGGTTCAATGTCGGGTGAATATGGGGGATGCGGCATGATTTCGCAATTCATCTCCTTCAGTTTGGCCAGGGTCGGTTTTGCAACATGTGTCCTGGCGTTGTCATGTTGGAAAAGAACTCCTTTGCGATTGGCCAAAATCGGACGTTTTTCATCAATTGCTTTCTTCATTTCGACCAATTGCTTACAATACTTGTTGGCAGTGATCGTTTCTCCAGCTGGCAAGAGCTCAAAATAGATCACGCCACGGATATCCCACCAAATGCACAGCAGTACCTTCATCGGATGCAATCCACCTTTCGACATCGGCTCCGCCCCTTTGTGTGCCTGTTTCCATGTTCTTTTGCGTCGAACATTATTGTACAGAATCCATTTTTCATCACCAGTCACGAGCCGATCCAAAAAAGGTTCGTTTTTGTTCCGTCGAAGCAAAGAAATTGCTGTTGACATACGGTCCACTTTGTTTTCTTCCACTAAACTGATGTGGCACCCATGTATCGAGCTTCAAAGTGTACCCAACCTTTTTTAAACGACGAAACGCAGTCGATTTGTTGACGTTCAATTCACTGGCAACCTCTTCCGTCGAAATACGTGAGTTATTCGCAACTGAAATCCTTAGAACATCGTCATCAAGCTCAGAAGGCCGTCCTCTGCGAGGTTGATCTTCGAGGTTAAAATCTCCAGAACGAAATTTCGCGAACCATTTCTTTACTGTGCGGAGTGCTGGAGCACGGTCCAAATAAACTTCGCGAATATCTTTAGTTGCAGCGCCTACTGTTTTTCCTTTGCGGAATTCGTATAAAATAATATGACGCATATGATCTTTTTCGTTGTCCATCTTCCAAGCGTCTTTTCACTAAGCAACTCAAATCAAAATAAAGTTATTTTATGCTTGATTTACAGTTCGGACTGTCACCTTTCCAACGATATATAATATGTATATATTTCTTTCACGAGCGCCACTCTCAAACGATTCGAACGGCATCCAGCGGAATCGGGCACGAACTTATGCCCCATCCATCATAATTTCTGGCATGTTTCTCGATTAGTTACACACACCGCACCATTCACAGTACGCAATGACTCGAATGAAGTAGAGCCAAGTCTGTTATGATTTAAATTTGGTTATTCACCGTAAAGCAACGACCGATGTCGATTTTGATCTGTATGATTTCGACTGTTTCTATGCGTTTCGATGGCAATGTTTATAATGGGGATAATAGAATATGAAAGGAAGCTGGGATAATCGTGTTCCTTTAAAAAACTCAGACAATTTTTTAAACCATACTTTTTGCCGTCATGGTTAACAGTTCTTGAACGGCATCTGAAAGCCAACTCACAGGTAGCACAATGTAGAAGTGCAGAGATGCTTCCTCGTTTCGTACCTTCAAACAGCTTCTGCGATATGACACATACTGCATTAAAAACCAATTGAATCCATATCAATAAAATACTCCGAGATCCATATATAAGCGATATGTATATTTTAGAGAGTGCGAAAGGATCCTGCAAACTCCCTTCATCCCTTATGTGTCCTGAAGCATCTTGGTTTTAACTAAAATTTCACCTTATCGATCAGATGTTCGGCAGTCAGCAGAAGACCACAAATTACTGGAATCACATCAAGCTTTGTTCTGATCGGTGTTATCAATATCCACAAGTCACATTATCACAACTTCCTCAGTTTTATAGTTAAAAATTACTACCCAAGTAAGCCTTAGAGATGAATAGCTCAACGCTGCAGAGAAGTGGATTACATGTGCTTTTACCAGTGCCCAAGGCAATATCAAAAGTTTAACTATAGTTTAATCGGGCCACTGCACTTCCCAACTCAACTTGTTTTCATGATGTCAATTATAACAATATAAGACCTGCTCTTTTTCCCCTCTTAAATTTTAACACAAAACAGTTTTTTGCCGACAATGTGCCCTTGAGTGACTTTGTATTAAGTTACAGTTGAACTCTTGTCTCTTTGTGAACAAACGAAGCTCTGTTTTGTCATATTATCGTTAACGATGAGGATCAAGGCAGAGAAAAATTCAATTGGATTGTTTGAAACTTTATAGTGTCGCAATAATCACTCTGAGGTGCGGTCATTTGTATAAGAGCACGCAATCATTCACCTGCGAATGGCTATAAAAAATTCTCTTATAAGTTGTTCAAGCTGCTTACGAGTTTCGGTTGTAGTGGGAAAGTGAACCGCCTGCGGATATAAATATAAATAGAAGCATTAAGCCTCGGTTGAGAGACCTCTCTCTACAAATGATTTAAGGATCAGCATTTGAGGATATGGATGGTATGGTTGAAGGTATGGATGGGGCCTCACTGTCCAAATGGGCCGAACATGACAGTAGAAGATGCGTCCTTTAGACAACTAATCAAACTCAAACGGCTCGAGTATTCTCTCAGTATACATAATTTTGATGAGGGTTATCACCTATTATAAAATAATACTTGGCATAGCTGCACACTCACATTTGTAACTGTCAGTAAATATGCTAGTAATTCCAAAAAATGAAACTGTTTCTCATTTAGTTTTTTATCAAGATAAATATATTAGTGAATTTCAATTCACTTTAAAGGAAAAAAATATTCCGCGCCTATAATATAATGAGCAGCTAATATAAATTTAACGCACCGAAGACTTATTCCTCTTCAAATATTCATCATGCGCCATCACCATATGAACGCCGCATATTAAACATTACTTATCACGTAAATTATCACAAATTTTTTATAACAAAAAAAAAATTGACATGTTTGCTACGAACTCCCTACACCTACTGAAATAATTAAGAAAATTTATAATCATTTGCGCCATACTAAACTCACATTAAATCGTCATTATGGCAGCAGAGTCCGCATAGCTGAAGTTAGGACTAACTCTGATAGCCGCGCCAGACGTTCACTACATTAGCATATATATTCACATACACATACGCAGACTGCATATTTTATAAAATTTACTGGCATAATTAAATTTTACTTTTCACTTTTTCTCTTACCTTAATACTCACACACACATATATACACTTAGCAATGCGCGGAGAATCTGTGCAAACATGGCGGCACATGCTGGACCAGTGGCGCTTCTTTCTATTGTGCCTGTCGTCCGGGCTACACAGGCAATATGTGTGAAGGTTTGTATATATACATAAATGTTGTATGTAGATATAAATATTGGCACAGTGTAGGTGACTGTGATCCAGAAGTCGTAGTTCAACTCCGTTAGTTGAGTATATAAAAATGCGCTTGGCACGTGCTCTGGTTGACTCTGTATGTGCATATGTATGTTTATATGACTGATGTCATGCATAATTTTTGTCATTAAGCCAAGTTACTAAGCTAATTATTTAAAAATGAGAACCTATTCTTTTTAAAACGCGAAAATCAGAACTTATTCATATGTAAATACATGCACTCTTTCTGATTTATAACATTCGAAATTAAAATTATAATTGAAATTAAAATTAAAATTAAAATTAAAATTAAAATTAAAATTAAAATTAAAATTAAAATTAAAATNTCAAATTCAAATTCAAATTCAAATTCAAATTCAAATTCAAATTCAAATTCAAATTCAAATTCAAATTCAAATTCAAATTCAAATTCAAATTCAAATTCAAATTCAAATTCAAATTCAAATTCAAATTCAAATTCAAATTCAAATTCAAATTCAAATTCAAATTCAAATTCAAATTCAAATTCAAATTCAAATTCAAATTCAAATTCAAATTCAAATTCAAATTCAAATTCAAATTCAAATTCAAATTCAAATTCAAATTCAAATTCAAATTCAAATTCAAATTCAAATTCAAATTCAAATTCAAATTCAAATTCAAATTCAAATTCAAATTCAAATTCAAATTCAAATTCAAATTCAAATTCAAATTCAAATTCAAATTCAAATTCAAATTCAAATTCAAATTCAAATTCAAATTCAAATTCAAATTCAAATTCAAATTCAAATTCAAATTCAAATTCAAATTCAAATTCAAATTCAAATTCAAATTCAAATTCAAATTCAAATTCAAATTCAAATTCAAATTCAAATTCAAATTCAAATTCAAATTCAAATTCAAATTCAAATTCAAATTCAAATTCAAATTCAAATTCAAATTCAAATTCAAATTCAAATTCAAATTCAAATTCAAATTCAAATTCAAATTCAAATTCAAATTCAAATTCAAATTCAAATTCAAATTCAAATTCAAATTCAAATTCAAATTCAAATTCAAATTCAAATTCAAATTCAAATTCAAATTCAAATTCAAATTCAAATTCAAATTCAAATTCAAATTCAAATTCAAATTCAAATTCAAATTCAAATTCAAATTCAAATTCAAATTCAAATTCAAATTCAAATTCAAATTCAAATTCAAATTCAAATTCAAATTCAAATTCAAATTCATATTCAAATTCAAATTCAAATTAAAATAAAATTAAAAAAAATAAGTTTCAAATTCAAATTACAATTACTATTACAATTACATTATAATTACAATTCCAATTCCCATCAAAATTAATTTTCAATTAATTTCAAAATTTTTTTTAAATTAATATAAAATTTGCAATTACATATTAAAATTAAACGAAGAAAGTTGGCAGCTAACGGGAGCTTTATACTTACTTTATAGTTATTGTATTATATAATAAAACAAATGGCATTAAAAAGATTTACTGCAAGTCATTAGGCAAAATTTAATATGCCATCATTAAAATAGCTGTCCTTACATGTATAATTATATATCTACATATACATATATTTGAAATTTTCCAGTAAACTTTAAGCTCTCACTCTCATTTAAACATCCCAACCACTTATTATAATGCCGTATTTAACAACATGACTCTGCATATAAACACTTAACCATAATTTATTTTTCTACTTTTCTAATTTCCTGCACTTGTCTTCCTTCTCCGCTACTCTTCGCATCTCCACTTATTTTGCGCAAATTCTTGCCAAACTATAATACTTTTGTCATGCCTTCAACTACTCTACGTCGCCGCAGATGAGTTTGTGGTGGAGACTGTCGTTAGTTCCAGCGAGTTTATGGTCGATGATACGAGCGCCAGAAATTTTAATGACAAAACTTTCGGTTCATCGGTTGTGCTAAAGAGTCCCATTGAATTGCATAATGCATACTTTGGTGCTGGTGTACTGGCGTCCGCTGTTTTTATTGTTGCCATTGTGGTAAGTACAGTAGTTATAGTATTGTATATATGTAGTTTAGTCAATTTTAGACTGTCATCGAAAACGTTATTTTCTCACACGCACTAATGACATTAAAGCATGCCACAAATCTCACTACTTGAATGTCAATCGTCTGAGTGTTTCTGTGAATATGCAAGCTCATTTAAACCGAAATTATGTGATACTTTGCAAATTCCAAAAAATCATTACCAACTTCATAGTCCCATCATCATCATCATCGTCATCATCATCATCATCATCATCATCATCATCATCGTCGGTCGGTGTAGTCAACAGCACACTTATAATTTGTCTACATGACTTTACGTAAATATTTTGCTCTAAATTTCTACTATCCCACATTTTATTGCTTCTTTAGTCGGTCTCATTTACGTCGTCTCATTTTAATGGGTTGCCAGGCTGAACATATGCGAGTAAGAAGAGAGAAATAATTAGTATTGGTGAGAAAATGAAACTTGTGTGGTGGGAAAGTATGGCAGATCTGTAAATAGATAAAACTAAATATGTATATTTATATCTTGAGAAGAAACGAAGCCAGCTAATAAGGCTATAAAAAATTTACAAAATTACGGCAGGTTAGTTAGAGGGGAAAAGAGAAATACCCTACGCTTGACACCTCCTTGTCACCTCCTACCAATGGCTGGCTATAGCTGAAAACAACGTGCTGTTTATTGAGAGGCATAGGTTCGGTTAAGCTGGCTGGTTTGTTACGCCTTAATAAGACCTGTTGATAATCCGTATCTGAAGTTAAGAAGGACATTTATATCTAGTATTAAAATTGTCCTAGTCCTCTAAACAGTGAAGAGCTCAGATGACTAAAACGTTTTCCTGATAAAGCCAAACAAATATAGAGTAGATGTTCTAACGTCGCTCTCATATTTGTCTCTCTAAACTTTACACTCACTGCTACTATTCCCATTCTTCATGTTAATTAGTTATGACCAGACAACAGGCCTACAAATCCGATTTTGGTGTGTTTTGAGCCAGAGAATAATTCAGTATTTTTTAATCATATTTAAAAATATTTAAAAATCCTAAACTAACTCAAATGTAACTTCTTTAACAATGTTATAGCTCAAAATTCCAAGCTCTCTGGAAAACAGGTTTTCTGACGAAGCTTCCGAAACAAAACCCTAGCTGCCCTTCTTCAAATTCTATCTAACAAAGCAATCAATGAAAAAATTATTCCCATATGACACCAGAATATCTCAAGCACATAAACAAAACCGACTACTCTTCTTCTCGTCGGCTTACATGTGTGAAACCATTAATAATTGTGATGAGGTTCCTTAAATACTAATTTTCATGTAGTTTTGCTTCTGATCACATTCTGAAAGGGAACTAGTACAAGCACCTCTGTAGCTCTTATGCATCATATTTGAACAGCTCAGCTGATGAAGCATCGATTTTACATAGAGTTTTGATGAAACGACTGTACCACTGCCATAGATTGGAGTTTTGGATCTCGCTGCTTCATTTTCCCTGCACTTAAGAAGGATTGGGGAAGTATCCACAAACTCAAAATACTTTGAGCATCGTTAGACAAATTTTTCGTTCTTTTTCATAAAACTTTAAAACTTTTCCAATATCGGTCATCTCCTCAAGGCTTTGTACTCACTCTCTGTCTCTTTGATTTTCCCTCTGCAAAAGCTTTTTGCTCCCATCTTCAGCTCCCAAAAATCTTGTGAGCGTATGAAGCTCGTAATAATAATACTGAATGTGAATGCCCAAAAATAAATTAATATCCAGCATTTTTGATATGTAAAATTATTCAGATAACAGGAACAGTCTGTGACGAAAATTGGCAACGTTGCTTGCCAAAGTTCTTTGCTTGCGATCATATAGAGGATAGTTGAGATGATAATTTTGAAAAAAAAACAATTGGTCTGTGCTAGGAATGAATATAAAAGACTTGAAAAATCTGTTTAATGCACATAAGATCATCTACAACTCCTCTAAGTGTACAACATATGTGTTCTTGTTGAAAAATGCATTTATTTATTCACAAAATTATTTTATTTTATTTTCCTTTAATTTTCTGATATATAGTCTAAGCAAAATTCTTTTAATTATTATGCTGACATGAAAATTATTTGCACAAATGCAACAAACACTTTTAGTCACTCCAGTCACATCCATGCATGCCTCTTCTCCTTCTTCTTATCTCCATTTCTCTTAATTTTCTAATTAATTACTTTAGAATATTGCTCAACTAAACTTTCATACAATTTCACACTCTCCATGCTCCACACAGGTCACCATCTGCCACTGCAAGGTGAATCACACGTACCGTAAGTTTTCAACGCGCTCGTCCACATTCTTTCCCATTCTGGGCTTCGGTCGACGCAGCAAATCCCAAAACAAACTCAACAAACACTGGCTCAGCGGCAAGGGGATGAGCGGTGCGGGCGGTGGCGCTAGTGGCGGCTTATTGCGCTCTACATCCGGCTCAACGACATCACTGACACGCGGACATCTACCCTCGGCGCACAATGCGGCGGGTCTGCATCAATCACAACAGCAACGTCAGCAGCAGCAGCAGCTGCAGCAGCAACAGCTGGGCGGCCAAATGCACGAGCGACCGTTTCAACGGCATTTGGCGATGAATTTAGAGAATGATATGTATTATACAGTTGATTTTAGTGAAAATTCCCAACACTCACCGCTGATACAGTGAGGTAAAGAAAGGCGCACCTCACGGCGAGGGGTAGTGGTGGCGGCCGTCGACAGTGTTGCCGCTACTGGTGCTGCTGTGGGCAAAATTATGGTACGTACGCTGGCGGGCGTGGTGGGTAAGGAGCGGTTTAGAGGTAAACGTAGGGTGAGTGGCGATGAGAGTGGAGTTGCGTTAGCACAACCGCTTACCAGTGTTGGCATCACTTCAGATGCCGACAGTAGTAATTGTAATAAAAATAGTAAATATAAAGGCAACAACAATAACAACCACACGCCAACTAGTTTGTTAGTTAAATTTACGAAACGTTCTCATTAATGGGCAAAATGCTATATAATGATAATGATCATAATTAAGTAGATGCCACTGATAATAATTACGAGACAATTAACATAATGATAATTGAAAATAGTATATAAATACATAGTACATACATTGATACATAAAGCAGGAATAGGTATTGCTGTCAAGGGGAGACAGGCATTCAGACGGGACAAGATGGAAAAGCGTGATTTCGGCACAGCGACAAAGGCGAGACTGTAGACACAATGTTGACAGCAACAGCAACGGCATCAACAACAACTAGGGAATCATTAGCAAATGAGCGATAAATTCTTGCGTATAATACAGTTTAGCATAGCGCAGGTGTTGCCGCTGTCTCTGATATTGAAATATTAATTGAAATTTTCGCTATTCCACGAACTGACGCACGGGTATAGCAAACGAAGAGAGTACTTATGGGTAAAGTACATTAGGGTGTGCAATATTTACGAAAAAAATTTAATTTTTAATTTCTTCAACATACAACAAAACTCGGAAAACCAAATTAATTTTTTTGAAAACTGGTCAAATTAAACATTT